TGCATGCCAAGGCTTAAAGCAGCAACAACGCTACACATAGAAACTGATGATGGTGGAAAACACCGAAACGTATTTTAATTGATAAATAGAGACAATAAATGACTGAAGCCCAGGAATTGATTTCGATTTGGATTATGGGGTATGTGCGGATTTTCGACCAAGAATTTCCATTAAAAATCACCCGATTTCAGGGACGTTTCATACCAAAGACTGCGGCCGAACATCACGATCACCTCAATAGAGCAGTGCCAGGCGCTATACCCCGAATGCGCCAAAAACCCTGGATAACCTCCGCGCGCGGACTCTAGACTTAGTTAATTTATTGAATCAATAGAGAATGGTACAGACCTTGTCTTTGAATCATCAACTTACCAGTGAACCACAGSACATTATCAAAGGCCGCCGGGATGGCGTGCATGTTGTTGATGTTGTACTCCCAGGACTTGTCGTTGCATTTGCGGTTGATCAAGGAGTCGCACACSCAATGCCCATACCCAAGACTCCCCTCCTGATGCTGCTGCAGCTGAGTGCTGTGCCTGAACAGCCCCATTGCGTCGCTATGCYCCATCGYTTCTGCAATAATCGCCTAACAGCACTATAAGCCACCTGCAACCCCACACTCACTTTACTTGGCCAATCCAGCAGTTGACGTAGTTGGGATCCGATCGCTGGCCTTCTCCGAAAGCCTTATTGGCCAGCTCCAGATCCTCCATCCGCAGGTACAGGATTCCCAAGTTGGTCCAAGCGACAGCACTGTTGCTCTCCGCTATCACAGCCTTGATAAAGCTGTGTTGTGCCAGCGCGTAATTGGGGGGCTCTGAAACGAAACTCATCAACAACTGAACTTCTCTAAGGCATTGCTGGCACCTCTAAGAACCGCCGCGACGCCTAGAAGGTTCCAATGCTGCCAATACTCAGGATTCAGGGAGGTGCAATGCTGGGCAATGCTAATGGCGTTGTTGAGAAGTTCGTTCTTCTTCACTGGGTCGTTGTGATTGCACGCATACTGCAGGTAGCAAGTGCCCAAGTCGTGCCACAGAAACGGATTGTCTTCGGCTGAACTCACGGCTTTACAGTAGAACCTGCAACAGTTTGCGTTATGAGGACGAGTTCAAGCGGTTTTTGCGACTCACTTCGTCGCCCATTCAAACAGCTCGGTTTGCTCCAGGATCGCTGATTTCTGCGGGCTGCCCGAAGCAGGCAAGTGGGGCAACTTGAGGCAGGAGTATTTTTCTGGAAGTTGGGCCACAAACATCACACAGTCCGCCAGCAGCTTCCACAGGCAAGTCAGCTCGCTTCTTTGTGTTATGGCCCTAAACAGCCCCATTCTTGGAATTTTTGCAAGCGAATCCGAAAAACCATATTAGTGCATTTGCTTCGTTAAGAAACTACAGTGTTGATTTTTTAAAGCCAAACTTAATCTCCCGAGGCGTTTCTTGAATACAGCTGATAAAGCAAACTCATATGGCTTTTCGACTCCCTGTCCTTCCCTGGAACCAGCAGAAATACTCACAAAGTCACCTTATTGACCGCATCCTGCACAAAATCCCTAGCAGCACCAAGTCGTTGGTTTTTCAAACATTCTCTCGCCTGGCAAAGGCAAGTTTCGCTAAGGCCTTTAAGCGCGGGCACGTACTGGTTGCTGCGCGTGAGGATGGCCTCAAAGTCGGCCTGAGCCTCCACATAGTCGCCCAAAACCTGCAGAGAAGAAGGAACTGAAAAAACAACTTAAAAAGCAATCAGCAAAGGAAAACCTTTTTGATGTAGGCCACTTGCAAAGCCGAGTAGAGGGAAAACTCCGATAGGTCCAAGGCTTTTTGGTAGCACTTTAAGGCCGAGGTGAAGGCGCCCTTTGCAAAATAGGCGTCGCCCAAAGACTCCCAGCAATTTCTAAAGGTTTGGAAGTGTCAAGCTGGAATCACCATTAACGGGGGCAGCTTCTTACGTGTTTTCCGGGTCAATTCGGATAACGATTCTGAGATACTCCAAAGCATTGACGGGATTTCCTTGTTCCAAGTAGGTCAAACCCAGTTGCAGCCAGGCCCACACATTTGCGCTATCCACTAAGCCCTCGGTTAAATTGAGCAGCAAGGACAAGTTGGACTCCTAAAACAGCAATTTGTGAGCGCAAGAAGCAGGGGAGTGATGAGTGAGTGCTACCCAATTCTTCAGCTTTCGGTAAACTTTGCTCAATTCACTGCCCGCCTCCGGGGAGGCGGGATTGAGTTTGAACGCCTTTTCATAGCAGCGCCTTGCCTTGTCCAAGTGGCCCACTCTATTGTAGTATTGGCCCAAATGGACAAAGCACGCGAAATTGCTGGGATCGCATTTGGCTGCCTGAAAATCAATGGACTATTGCGCCATTCAGCGAATGTGATCTAAGGCACCTTTAAAAATGGGTCAAGGCACTTGGAAAATTGCCCCATTTCCCAGTGGAGTAGGCCCACTTCGATCCACCAGTCAGTGGAGTTGCAAGTGAATTCTTCAATTAGCTGCTGCGCTGCTGTATATTTGCCCTGTTTTCTATACAGACGGATCTTGAAAGCGTGGGCCGCTTCGGGTTTAAGCGACTCTAGAGCGGAAATGTGGTTCTCTGCTAGGGAAAACTCCTGCAAATTGACACTAGCTCTTATCAGAGGTCCTAGGCACTGATTCTGATCCACATCCTGAAACAGAGAGTTGCGCTGTAACACAGAGCCATTCCAAAGACAACGACCAACCTCCGCAGCAATATCCAGGCACTTTTGCCAATCATCCACGTTGTCTGATAACGACAGAATTTCCAGATGTTGAATCCGGACCTTATGAAGCAAAACAGGGTTGGTTAAGGAACGCACCAGCTTTTGGCTTCTGGCTAGAGATGCCAAAGCCTCGCTGCTCAAACGCAGCCGGATCAGAACGTCCGTGAGTAACACCCAGGCATAAACCAACCCCTGCCTTTGCTTGGTTACTGAAATTGCGGCATTAGTTTCAAATGTATATACTTTCCTGACTGTTTCAAAGCTTCTATCCAAACCACTGGCAACTAACCAAGCAGCAGCTTTTCTCGAGCTTCGAAAACATTGCGGTCCCTGAAGAGGAGAACAGCTTGCGTGAATAAAGCCATAGCGTTGGCAGGTTCGAGATTGAGGAGTTTGGCGGTAAAGCCGCCAATTTTTGGCGTAATTGAGTCCACCTCAGAGTTTTCCTCGATGGACATTTCATTGAACACTTTGCAGATCCAACTGAGGGCGACCACACTGGATGGAAAGAGTTCATGCATTTTCTGCGAATGATCTAAAACCCGAAGCATTTGCCGACTCTTGTTCAGCACAGTGATATAGCTGGAGTAGAACCCCTCGGACACTGCGGCGGACGGCAGTAGCAGTTCCAGGCAGGCTTCATACTGTAAGAGGTTAACTGCATTTTGTTCCAGACCGATTCCAAGCGGATTTACTACCAGATCCAGAAGTTTAGTTTCAACCCCCGACTCCAAATGATGTGCCACGAGTTTGGCAATCTCCACTCGAGCCTCAGTCGAGCATTTGTTGGCTGTACTCAACAACACCTTGCAAGTTTCCAGAGCATCTCCCTGGCCGTTCAGCCCTGACAGTCTTTTAGCATACTCAAGAAGCTTGGCCTCATTGCTGGAACACATCAATTAATCGCCGAGCTACTTCCACCGCCCTAAAGCCTACGTTTCAATTGCCAAATAGGCCTGGTACAACTTGAGCAACTCGGTTTGAGAGCTGTCGCTGTTGAGCTTTTCATGGTAGCTGACCAGGCCTTGCCAAGCCAACGGATTGGCAGCGTCCAGATCGATTGCCTTCTGAAAGGCCTTCAGCGCCTGATGCGTCGGGCCAACTTCTTGGAGCGCTAGCCCTAGAAACACCAGCCCCATGTAGCTGTTCTTGTCTTGCTTGACGATCGACTGAAAGGGGAAGGCGCAATTTAGCGCTAATTGTTGTTCTGCGGAGCTTCAAACGTTTCGAGAAGATCCCCAAGGCACATACCTTGGAAACTTTAAGGGCGGCAGCAAAATCTTTGGCTTTCAGTGCTGCTCTCGCCTGCTTCAACAACGTCTTGATGTCCATGATGTTTGCAAATTTGCAAACTTTTATTTTTCTATAGACCTGAGTCAACAAACTTGAGCTTGATTACACTAATTTAGTGAGGTTAGGTTCTTGGATAAAAGCTTGCAGCGTTGCCAGGCCAAGGACTTCGAAAGCGGCAGCAAAGAACCGTAGAATTTAACCTAAAAGTCTACACTGTAACCTTAATAAATCGGGCATTGTCGCCTCAATTTTTATTCGGTGAATCACATTACTTTTCCATGAAACAACACGATAAAGGGAGCAAAAAGTGATGGTGATTAAAATTGGGAAAAAAGTGACTGCTTTTAATGCTCCATTGATCCTTTGAACTTTATGAAACCACCTGTCAAAGTATTAGGGTTTTGACTGCACTGGAGCCCTACTACACACCATCATAATGGAAGAGGCCGGATTAGAATGCGATGTGTGTGGAGGAACCAACTTCCACAAAGAATCCGGCCACTTCTACTGCAACGAGTGCCAGACACAGTCCCAACAAGTTCAGGAACATGTGTTTGAACATACGGGCTACAGCGTTACAGCTGCTAAGAAAATACAGGTGAGCCCCAGCTTGTTGCATATTTCAGTCCAGGGAAACACGGTTGCATTATTGTAGAAAACGCGCGACGAGAAGCAGGACCAACAGCTGACTAGTTGGGAGTGCTACAACATTGTCTTGAAAGGCCTAACGAACGAATTGTTGGCTTTGGGTGCCGATCCACAGTTGAAGAGCGTCGTCCGTTTGCTGTGGATGAAGTACCTGCATCAATGTGAGGTGTTTGATGTCAAAAGCAACAAGTTACCCAAAGTATCCGTTTTAGGTAGGTATTTGAACTTTATTGCTACATTTATTTTAGGACTTTTGCTACTAACGTTTCACTAGCCCGCTTGGCTCTTTTATTAAAAATGAGTTTTACAGCTAGTTAAGTTATATGTATACTTAGAACACGCGTTTTGTAGGCTCGCAGAAGGACATTGCCATACTCTACAATAGGAAAAAGCGGAAAAGATCTAGAAGTAGGCCGTCATCAACTACCGGCTCGATAAGTGAGCGGCGGGTGAGAGCCGCCAAAAAGCGGGCTCTTTTGAAAAGCGAATATGAACAATTGTCTCAGTCGCAAAGCCTAACACAGGTTGGTGGAAATTCTAGAGAAGTCGAAAGATTTGTTGCTGTAACTGGGCTATTTTTTCCAGGACAGCACCCTGATGAATTCTCTATCTGATTTGGCAAGCGGATCAGAAAAATCCGATAACGAAGAGATTCAATACAACAAGTCGAGTATAAAAGAGCTGAATCGGTTGATGTCGAAAAGGCACCGAAAGGAGCATCAGCTCGATATAGACGGCGACTTGGAGTGTCATAAAATCGATTTCAAGAGCTGCAGTTCGCGATTCAGGACTAGTCCAGTCAAACTGTCCGCACACACCTTATATAACATCCTGTATATTGGGCTGCTGATAGTACAAGACTCTGTGCAGCTGGGCGATTTGCTAAGGTTCATCAGAGAAGGGCATGTGAGTTTCGAATGCTTTCGTCACTTTTTTGACGAAAACACTCCCGAAAAGGCCATCAATCTGCCGCATAAAAATCAAAAACTGTTATCGAATGGTTCATTTCGAAAGCGCACTGCCGAACTCGTTCGGTTTCTGGGTGTATACAAATACATCAGCACGCCGGATTTGAGGATGCTCTGCTCCAGATATTGCACAGAATTGAATCTTCCAGAGGCCGTTTTCGAATGCGCAGAAAAGCTAATCGCTACAACCGCCCCTGAAATGGCCTATACTGAACGATCTAAAGCAGTACCCAACTACGAAGGGCGCGCAATGAGCTTCCTGCTAGTCGCTTTGAAGCTGCTCTTTGGCTTGGACGGCGTAACGGAACAACATCTATCGGAATATGCGGACATTTTAACCAACAGCAATGTGGGGTCAAGGATGTTTAATTTGGAAAAGTGGCTGCAATTTATAGCAGATCGCACCGCTCTCGTGAAGAAATACCACATGCCAACGGCTCTAAGAGAAGACGGTAAATGCGACAGCGATCTGTATCTCAGATACCTCAGAATTCAGGGTGTGAAGTATTCGGGAAGCCATAGAAAAATCCACAGGGAAGTTCAGGACTATTTGCAGGTTCTGGAGAAGGTGCTGGAAGATGAGGACGATGATGAGGAAGAAGGAGTTAAGTTTGAACCTTCATTGACCCCATTTTTAACCTACTCCGCTCAGCTGAAGTTAAATCTAGAGCTGCCCAGTTTGGATGAGACCTTTCTGCATGATTCGCTAGATTTTCTCCTGCGTCCTAACAAGTATTTGAAATTGCTTGGAACGCGCCAGATCAGAAACGGGGGAGCCAATGAAGATTTCCATATCGAAGAGCCGATGTACCTGTATAACGCGAGCATTTATTTAGGGAAAAAAAATAAGCAACCTGTACCAGTGAAAATAGTGGACGAACAGGAGGATGATGGTTCAGTGAGAAGGTATTTGGAGTCCCAAAGGAAAGTCACCCTGAAAACCACCGATGTGAAGGTATTTTTATACAATTGGCACCAGAGCCAGCAAAAGCAATTTGAAAAAAATAGGATTTTACTGCGAAGGACATCGGAAAAGGTGCAGATTCCGTCAAATGCCAAGCCCCATGGGAAGTACCCCGAACATTTCCACCCATTTGAGCGATATTGGATGAATGTTCCCATAAACCCCGTAGCATACTACTTAACTAAACAGGACATAAAGGGGATTGTCGACAAGTTTCCCAACTCGCTTCAATTGATTTTCAAGGAAAGCTGCAGAATAATCGAACAAGATATCAACGAGTTGTTTGCAGAATTTTCACGAACTGAACTGTATATGGCGTATTGCGTTGATTTCTCTTCTGGGAAGAAAACCAACGAGAACAAGCCATTGATTGAACTGAAGGACGCTGTTCGCGCTTGTAGGAGAAACTGGTGAATCGTCTTTAGTGGGGGGCTCCTCTGGACAAAATAAGAATCAACATCTAAGTTGGAGCGTGTATTGCCAATATGTTACAGCCGTTCGATTAAGGTGAGAAGATGTTCTTGAGTACAAATATCGGAAGCGATCGAGTGAAATTATTTTATGTGAGCGGAGAAATCGGATGGCAAATTCGAATGGAAGCGCAATATATATAGCTGTGCAGTGTAGGCCTGGGTAACACTGTTGAGTTGAGCTATTGAGTTATAACTCAGTGGTTAATGAGTCATTTATTAAAGCCTTTCGAGACGAGAGCGTTTTTTCTTAAAAACTTTTAGGTTTGTGATCGGTTTTTGAGAAAATCTTAATGATTTTAAGAAAAAAACGGGAGAAATTCATTTTCGTTTTTGTCCCGAATTCGACGCTGAAAAACGTTTTTGTAAAATTCCTACAAAGCTATAAATTGATCTTGAAATTTTTTGCGTAAAAGACCTC